TCCAAGTGACGGGGAAAGGAACCGTAGATATCAAGACTAGAAATGGCTTCGTAGAGTCTATTTCTAATGTATTCTACCTTCCTGATCTGAAGGCCAACTTACTTAGTATCGGTCAGTTACAAGAAAAGGGGTATGTGATCACATTCTAAAATGATGAATGTGAGATTTATGACTCTAAAAGAGGATCGATTGCTAAGATGAAGATGACCATCAACCGTCCATATCCATTGACGTTAAATATTGTTGCCAAAATTTTGATGGTGAAGAAAGAAGATACCACATGGCTTTGGCATTTTAGGTATGGTCATCTACACTTCAAAGGATTAAAGACGTTGTCTTCAAAGAAGATGGTAACTGGGTTGCCAAATATTACTCCTCCAACAGAAATTTGCAGGAGTTGTGTAGTAGCAAAACATGAAAGAGATTCTTTTCCATCCGGAAAATCAAGAAGAGCTCAAGCAATTTTGGAGTTCATTCACTCGGACATATGCGGTCCCATCTCTCTAGCATCAAATGGTGACAAAAAATATTTCATGACCCTCATCGATAATTTTAGTCGAAAAACATGGACTTATTTCTTGCACGCCAAATCAAAAGCCTTTGATTGCTTCAAAAAATTTTGTGCTACTATGAAGACAGAAACTGGAAGAAGAGTCAAGGCTTTAAGAACTGATAGAGGTGGAGAGTTCTACTCGAACGAGTTTATTAAATTTTGTGAAGAGAAGGGCATAAGGAGGCAGTTAACAACAGTATATACACCACAACAAAATGGTGTGGCCGAAAGGAAAAACAAGATCATTCTCAACATGGTTCGAAGTTTACTAAATAAAGGAGAAGTCCCGAAGGAATTCTGGCCAGAAGCTATCGTGTGGTCCATTCACATTCTCAATCGGAGCCCTACTTTTTCTGTTAGAGATATGACTCCACAAGAAGCATGGAGCGGAAGAAAACCTGCAGTAGATCACTTTAGAATCTTTAGGTGCATAACATATGCACACGTTCCTGATGAGAAAAGGAAGAAACTTGAGAACAAGAGTTTGAAGTGTGCGTTCCTTGGAGTAAGCGAGATCTCTAAGGCGTACAAGCTCTATGATCCTTTGACAAAGAAGGTGGTGGTAAGTTGTGATGTAGTCTTTGACAAAAAGAAGACTTGGACATGGGAAGAAAAGATCACTTTGAATCAGCAGATTCGTGTAGATCTTGAAGAAGAACAAACTGAAGCCCCTATTCAGCCTCACTATGAGCATGAAGAGAGCTCATCACAAGCTCAACAAGAAGAACTAGTAGAAGAAGATCATGATCATAATCAAAGAAATCCAAGAACAAGAAAGAGACCAAATTGGATGATTGATTATGAGATGGACTATGAATCATGATAGTCGTTATTTTGCATTCTTTTTGGATAGTGATCCAATTGTCTATGAAGAAGCGGTAAAGGAGAAGAAATGAAAGGAAGCTATGGACAGTGAAATCAAATCCATAGAGAAGAACAAGACTTGGGAGCTCATTGATCTTCCTAGCGGGCAGAAAAAAATTGGAGTAAAATGGGTTTTCAAAATCAAGTTGAATGAAAACGGTGAGGTGGATAAGTACAAGGCGCGAATCGTTGCAAAAGGTTACAAGCAGAAGTATGGAATTGATTATAAGGAGGTATTTGCACCAGTGACACATCAAGATACTATCAGGCTTATAATTTCTATTGCAGCACAGAAATCTTGACCTATTTATGAACTTGATGTGAAATTGGCCTTCTTACATAGAGAGCTTCAAGAAGAGGTATATGTGGAGCAACCAGAAGGTTTTGTTCAAAAAGGCAAAGAGGAAAAAGTATACAAGTTGAAGAAAGCTTTGTACGGTTTGAAGCAAGCTCCAAGGGCATGGTACAGTCGCATTGATTCTCATTTTGAAAAGATTGGATTCACTAAATGCCCGTATGAACATACGTTGTATGTGAAAAATGAAAAGGGAGGTAACATTATCATTATTTGCTTATATGTTGACAATTTAATATTTACTAGCAATAATGACTAAATGTTTGAATTTTTTAAGAAGAGCATAATGAAGGAATTTGAAATGACAGATCTTGGTTTGATGAGATATTTTCTTGGAGTAGAAGTTACTCAAACTCCCGCAAGTAACTTTATCTGTCAGAAGAAATATGCTAAAGAATTACTTGAAAGATTTAAATTGGATGAGCGCACATTTGGAACTCCATCAGAATTAGGTTTGAAGTTGCACAAGGATATTGAAGGGCGAGAGGTTGATAATAGGTACTTCAAACAAATTGTGGGAAGTTTGATGTACTTAACTTCAACAAGACCAGACATCATGTATGCGATTAGTATGATAAGTCGTTACATGGAGCATCCAACAGAAAAACATCTCAATGCAGCAAGAAGAATATTTCGTTATGTGAGAGGAACTTTTGATTTGGGGATATTCTACAAGAAAGGAGATGATCCGAAGATGGTTGGCTATACAGATAGCGACTATGCAGGTGATATAGATGATCGTAAAAGTACTTCAAGAAGTATTTTCATGATGAGTTCAAGAGCTATTTGTTGGTCTTCAAAGAAGCAACCTATTGTAACACTCTCAACTACAAAAGCAGAATTTGTGGCAGCAGCAACATGCTCGTACCAAGCAATTTGGTTAAGAAAAATGCTTGAAATTCTTAATCAGAAGCAACTAGGTACGACGATTATATTTTGTGATAATATGTCAACTATTAAGTTGCCTAAAAATCCTGTGTTGCATGGAAGGAGTAAGCACATCGATGTTCAATTTCATTTCTTGCGTGAATTGTGTAAAGAAGGCATTATTGAACTCAACTTTTGTCGAAGTGATGAACAAATCGCAGACCTATTCACAAAGCCCTTGAAACAACCATTGTTCGAGAAGCTTAGAAGAAAGATGGGGATGTACAGATTCCAAGATGTATATCAAGAAGATGAAGTGAAGTCCTAAATTGATTTCTGCAGAATTCAGTTCAAGGGAGGGTGTTGAAGTTAATAATAGAAATTTGAATTTAGTTATTGCGGAGAAGGAGGAGATGAATTCAATTTCATCCACAAAAATCCCAACAAATTCCAGGAAGCAATGAAATCCGGTCCTATAAAATGACCTCCCTTTCAATCACTCAAATCACTCCTCCTCTCAATCTCACCTCAATTTTTGTTAGTCACCAACATTCAGAGCAAAGGTTAAACTACCACTTACCTTTTATCTCATCGTGCCTCAGTCTCGCCCTCGGAGTCAGTATTCAGTTCTCGAATTCTTGTCTCAATTCAGCTTTAGCTCTTGGGTTCACATTTGTTGCCTCCTAGTTGCTCAGCTTTAGCCTTAACCTCAAGTGCTTCAATAATAGAGTTCTTCTTTTGAACAACTCGAACCCAACCCAAACCTAACCCGAAAATAGAAGTTGAGTTGAATTCGGTTGTGAATCAATTTCGAGTTGAGTTGGATACCGATCCAACTAAATTGAACTTTTGGGTTGGTCCAAAAAATTCTCTCAACTCGACCCATGTACACCCCTACTACAAGGTGGCTAATCCTTCCATTCATTTTGTTCTAATTAATGCCTTCAAGATGATAGATCTAAGATTGACTTAGACCTTGTGGAGTAGATTCAGGCTAGTACTAATAATTAATAACTCTATACTAGGTCAACCAAATAAAGGGCCTTACTTAGTAACTCTGGCCTAGGATAGTACCAATATTGGCTTGGTGGGATGAACTCTGGCCTAGGCTGGTATCAATATTAGCTGGTGGGATAAATTGAATGAAGTATGAATGACATGTGCTCTGTGGCCCCTATATACATCGCTTTTATGAATGTATGACATGTATTACGTTATGTTATGACTTATATTATAATATGTTATTTTGTAAGTTGGACTATGAGATGTTAATGTTATATTATATATCCTATTATGACTTCCATGTTGTATGATGCATAATACTGTTAAATGATATGTCATGCACATTATTTTAGCATGATTATTTCAGGATTATGAAATACTAATACGCCACATATGTATTCATGAAAGTTATGTTTATAAAAAAACGAATGTACTACTTTGGTAAGAAATTTGTAAGGGTTCGGATTTCATTTCCTTTAGATTTTATGTTGAGATTTTATTTTTGCTGCCAAAATGAAAAGATATTATGCTATGCATTTATTCTCGCTGGAAAAGGTGCACGATTTCTGACAAGGAAGTTATTACCTTAATGGAAAAGTTATGAAACCTTTTATATTCCTATATTCAACTCTTCTCCTTCCTTGAAAACGACTTTTGCTCTCCAAACTTGTTTGTGTTTTTTAGAGTATCTGAGAGTACGGGAAAATCGAGAGTGCTAGCCGGAAAAACATGTGGGTTGGTTAGCTGGGTGGTTTTCTTGTTCGATGAGTTCTTGAAATCAATTGTGTTGTTGATTTGGAGGAAGAGTCGAGTGGAAGTTAACGTCGACATCGAAATTGCTACGTCGAAAAAGGCAAACCGTCTGAAGCGAAGGAGGAGGACACCACGTGACCGTTGTCGAAAACGGAGGAGATTGTGTCGTCAGCAGCAGCGGCACATCAGATTAGGGTTCTCAGCTCGACTTGACGTGTATGGCGGCTCGGCCCTGTCAAATCCCGCAGCTCGACTTGGAGGCTTAGTTGGTCGGCTCGACAACTCAGCTTATCGACTCGGTATCACTATAATATATCGATTCCAGGATTTTTGGCTCTTTTGAAGCCGTTTTTGCCCTTAGTTATACCATCTGAAGTCAGTATGGTTTCTAACCGTCAAAGACAGATTTAGCTAGGGTATGTTATGAAAGGTTCCTAAGTTTTTATGTGGTTATTATAGGACGTATTTAACCGTTGGGATTAGTTGTTGTGAGTGACTTCGGCCAAGGCCATCAAGGTAAGTGACCTTACTGTTGGAGTTAGCTTACTACGTGTTGTATGATGGTGCATGCCGTATGGGGACCCTGCATGCACCATATTTATTGTGATGACTATATGATGTATGGATTATGTGACTGTTTACGCTATGAAAAGTTATGGATGATGTTGACTGTTGATTGCTTATGCTATGAAAAGATGATTGATCTGCTAGTATTATGTTATAGAAAATGTTGATGGATGCCATGGATACACATAGTATTATCGAGTCATGTCATGAAATGCTTATGCAACTGGAATGTACTTTCATGTTATTTAATATGTCATGTAATGTAAGTCATGTGAGATGTCATGTAATGTAAGAAACGTATATGCGATTTTAGCAATGCTTATGTAATGTCATGTTAGATATGTTAAGGGACCTCATGCATATATGTATGTCACGTGCATCGGGATTCTTCCCCTTTATGATATGAAAGAATGAATTACGATATTGATGTTTGCCATGATAGCATGCGGGCCCTTTCCTGTTCTGTGGTGTTCGGTGGCGTGTAACACGTTGTGCATCGACCAAGCCAATCCTAGGGGGTATTTATACGAGCCTGCCTGGTGGGTCCATGTACACGTACATGAGCCGTGTGTAAAGGAGTACTACACTATTAGGTTTTATGTCCAAAAACTCATAGTTTGTAAACAAAAACATATTATGTTTTCAATAAAGTTACTATGGATGTTTATTCAGTAAAAATTGTTATTGAATAAAGTAAATTTTACGATCATTAATCTAAATTCAATAAACTAAGAACACTCTAGCTATAGTATGATTACTTGAACTATATGTAGAGACATAAGAGTGGATCAAGTTCAAGTATATAGTCAAAATGATCTATAGTACTGAAATAAGGTTGAGTACCTTATTCTGGAGACACTATGGATGCGAGCCACTTTTGTATATGATATAAAGAATGTGGTCACTAAATTGTACATATGGAGATATGTGAGTGGAGGAGTCCTATGCAATGAGTATTGCATAAGATCGGACCATAAAGAAAACCACTCTCACTTTATAATGTGGTTTACTGTTGAGACTGATTTTTTCATTCAATGACCTAGGTAACTCGATCTTAATCCTGAGCTAACTATGAACTCCTGTTTATTCGAAATTATCCTTAGATTTGCATGGGTGAGAGTGACCTGAGTTCGCCGATTTAGTAAGCCTCCCATTTCAGGGGTAAGACTGGGTGAATAGCTGAGGATATAGGGTGTAAGATGAAATTTACTCCTACCCACTTTTAGGGATAGTAGAGAGGTCGTTCCCTTAAGTATTGACTCCAGGTCTTGAACAAGGGGCCCCACCCTCTCATTGGCTCGAGAGGGATTTGGTTTGGTGGTTGGACAATAAACCAATTGTTCATTAGAGAATCAGTGAGACTTAAAGGAACAAGAAGTAACTTCAGGGGTAAAATGGTAAAGTGACACAGCTCTAGTTATGAACAACCTGTGAAGGATCGACTTATTAATCATGTTTATATCAAATGGACAGAAATATATCTATAGTGAGGGGAGTGCAACTACTACGCTATAGTGGAGTATCCTAGTAGTTAACGAATGTTAGTTAACAAAGTTAATGAGTTTAGTTACTTAATCTCGGATTGTTGGAGCCCATGATCTATAGGTCCATTAGGTCCCCTTGCTAGCTCATATCGGACTAAACCTTAGAACAGTGTAACGAGTGAGTTCGAAGTGTTTGAATTCAAATTAGGGAATATACCCTAAATATTTAACCGCATTTTGTTTTAATTATGAACTAAACAAAAAGAGAGAATTAGAGATATTTAAATAAGATTTAAATATTTTAATTATGAATAGAGATTCATAATAAATATGTGCCGGAATTGATTGAGATTGACATTTGATTTAATGTTAAATATTAATTAAATTGTTTAATTACTCATTCAATATTATTTTGATTTGAAATTAATTATTTAATTGTTGAATTAAAATAAAGAAAGTCAAAATGTTGACTTCACTTAATGGAAAAATCTATGTTTGAGTTAGTGGAATATTGAGTGTTACAATATATGGTTTAACCAAACTTGCATGTTTGTCAAATAAATTTGAGTGAAATTTTGAGTGTCAAAATTTGGTTAACTCAAACTTGCATGCTTGCCAAATAATCCCACAAATTTGAGTGAAATTTTGAGTGTCAAAATTTGGTAATCTCAAATTTGCATGAACATGCAAATATGACTCTATAAATAAAGTGATCAACTTACATGGAAATTCTTCTTGAAAAATTTTGAGAAATTCTCTCAAAACTCTCTCTTTACATATACTAAATTCCTTTCAAATTTAATCACTCATTGGATTCCACAATCCCGTTCTAAGGCCAGAGAAAAGTAGAGAAGACACTAGTGGTGGTTCGAAACAGGTTCGTGAGGAAAAAAGATTTTAAACTACAAAATGTTAGTATTCAAACTCATTGAATTTTAATGCTTTTGAACATGCTAGTTAATTTATTATAATTGATGTACTTAGAGTGCCTAAGATCCAAGTTGCTTCCGCATGTGTTTTATTAACACCTTCAATTCAATCAGAGCAAGTTTTAGGCACTTTATTTACATTAATTTGAGCATGGTGGGTACCATTTCATGAATGAAAATTGTGGTTGCTAAAGTGGATGTTTATGAATTTTGACATTTTTTATGCTTCCATTTGATACAATTATGTAATTGGCTGAATGTGTATAGGCTTTAATGAGTGAAGAAAGGTCTATAATTTTTATGGAGTCATTAAAGTTCAGGTTGTAATTGATGAAAATGGAAGAGATAGCAAGCTGAACCGAATAAGAAGATGGAAGAAGCGGTTCGGGTGTTTTTCTGCCAGTTGGGGTTCGGTTCAACGTTTTTAAGGGTTAGTTCGGCCAGTTCGTGATCCTCGGGAGTGGTTCAAGTTATTTTTAATTATTAATGTAATAATTTAGTTAATTGCATGCTTTAAAATGCCAAAACCATTCCACTTTAGTGTGTTTAATTAATTATGCATTATGAATGTATGTTTTAATTAAATAGAAAATGTATATGCATAAAGTATGTCATATATATTTAAAATCCCACCATAGGCTAAGCATGTTTCATGCATTACAAATATGTTATAAGTGTTATAATGTATAATATGCATGTTTAGGGTTCCATGAGTGATAGATATAAATTGTTATATTATTGCATGAAATTGATGATTATACAATTGTTATATAAAGCATGTTAGATGCATGTTATAGGTTATATTCAATGTCCTAAAACGAAATAGACGTTAAAATCTATAACAAAGATAAATGCATGCTCATTTAAAGTTAACAACCAAGCACGATCAATTTTAATAGTTAAAATAGGTCGAAATCTTGTAAAACTGCAGTTACAAGAAACTTCACCTAACACGATCTTGTCTAAAGCTGGAGGTACTTAAGTTGGTGGTTTATGGAACACCTGTTACCTGGAGATCGGGCTAGTACTTGAGCTTAGTTAGTCCAGTTTTATGAGCATGCGTGAGTGATGTAAGGATTTTTTAAAAAATGAAAAATCACCTAGACATCCTAAGTAAAAACCCAGTATAAATGTTATACTTAGACTTAGGTTATATTTAATTAGCCGAAATATACCTAAGTAATCAGTATACCCAACCTTCTAAAATACTTAGTGGGAGGAAAAAGGTATATGAGATACATTGTTTTCTTTTTACGCTCCCTGAAAAATTCACACCATGAGATTCATGCTCGGCCTCATGTCGCCCTAGGAGCGGCTTCCATTCGGAAGGTATTTGCATGAGTTAATAACAAAGTGAATAGAGAAAGTATTTATAGTAAGTGGGAGAAGGAAGTATATCAATGCATCCTATGGTCTCCACCACTAGGTTGCACCGTGAGATTCCTATGTTCTGACTGCATGTTGCCCTAGAGCAACTACCCATTCGGAGAGTCGTAACATGGGAGTCGGAACAACGCAAACTCCATAAATGGATAAAATTTCTTAGGTTCATTCTCAACTTTGGTTTTTTCATTTGATAGCATTATTGGGGCCGATCTCTAAGGTCTGAAAATGGCGAGTCACACTTACGAAGAATTACTAAGAGTTGGTATATTCTTGACCAAAGTGGCGATAACTAAAAGGCTAAAGGAATAAGAGTTATTTGGGATTAGTGTTTAAGTCAAGAATGTCTTGGTTTAGTGAAGAAGTGATTGACTGCCCCTCGGTAGTAGTTGCTCTAAATCACTAAAGTATCGTTGCAAATTAATAATTTTTGGGTACATTATTACATTTGCTAAATTTGATTGGATTAAAAAGGATTAAGTCAATTTACTAATAGAATTTGTTTTAAATCTTAGCATGGCAAGCTCAATAGTAAAATTACTTGCTTCTGAGAAATTAAACGGCGACAATTACGCAACAAGAAAATCAAACCTAAACACAATAGTTATAAATGATGATTTGAGGTTTGTTTTAACTGAGGAATGTCCCATAAACCCCAGTTCAAATGCAAAATCAAACAGTTTGAGATGCATATGATAAAAAGGGTAAGGGAAAAGATAAGATTCATACTAACCGCAAACACAAAGTTCAAAATGCAGATAATGAAAAATATTTCCATTGCAATGAAAACGGGCATGGGAAAAGTCACTGCCAAAAATACCTTGCAGAGAAGAAAGCCGAAAAGGCACAACAAGATAAATATGATTTACTAGTTGTAGAAATATGTTTTGTAGAGTATGATCACTCAACTAGGATACTAAGATTCAAGGTCACTAATCATATTTGTTCTTTTTTTTTTTTTTTTCTTTCCAAGAAACAAGTTCTTGGAGAATGCTTGTGGAAGGCAAGATAACACTCAAGGTTGGAACAAAAGAAGTTGGCTGAGCAAGATCAATAGAAAATTTAAAGTTGTTTTTTTGGAGATAAATTATCTTTTGAAATCAATGAAGTGTTCATTTTCAAAAGAGGTATTCATATTTGTTCGGTAAAACTAGAAAACAACTAATATATGTTAAAATCGAGCGAAACAAAAGCTATTTTAAATACCGAGATGTTTAAAACAGCTGAAAATCAAAATAAACGACAAAAGATTTCTCCTAATACCTATCTTTGGCACTTAAGACTACGCCTCATTAATCTCAATAGGATTGAGAGATTGGTTAAAAGAGGACTTCTAAATGAGTTAGAAGACAACTCTTTGTTGTTTTTTTGACAATCGGCAAGGGGAAATCCCTTTTCACAATTGGTGTGAGAGGAAATCGTTTGACGAAAGAGAGAAGAAAGTTGTTGAAAGAAAATAAAAACGGCAATGTACTCTGCTTCGCAAGAAGATAAAGCAACTACCTTTTGCTTAGTTGGTTGCCAGTAGATCGCGTCGCCTGAGAGGAAGTAAATCATCCCGCTGGTGCTCTTACGATCATCAACATCACCAGCCATGTCACTATCACTGTAGCCGACCAGCTCAAGCTTCTCCTTTTTTCTCCCTACGCAATATCTTACACCTCAGCCTCTAGTTCTGGCTACATAGCGCAAGATACGCTTGACAGCCACTAGATGCTCCTCCCTAGGTGCTTCCATAAACCTACTCACATATCCAACGGAATAAGCAAGATCAGGGCGAGTGTTTACTAGATAGCGTAGACTCCCGACAATGTTGCGGTAATTGGTGGAGTAGACTGTCGTCGTAGTGCCGACCTTCCTCAGCTGGAGTCAAGCCTTCATTGGCGTCCTTGTAGGGTTACTGTCTACTAACCCAGCAGTGTCCAACAACTTTATTGCATACGCACTTTGACAAATGGTGATGTTGGTAGTACTTTGTTGCACTTCGATGTCGAGGTAGTAGCTGAGTACGCCGAGATCACTCATCTTGAAGTTCTTTGACATCTATCTCCCTCTTGAATCTTCCAAGGACTTCCATGTCGCCTCCAGTGATTATGAGGTCGTCAACGTACACTCCCACAATCAGTCCTTGCTCGTCGTGGCCGTGCGTGTACATGCCATGCTTAGAGGCACAATGCTTGAACTTCAGTGACAGTAGGGTACTGTCGAGCTTCGCTAACAGGCTCGTGATGCTTGCCGAAGCCCGTAGAGTGCCTTATGCAGGTGCAGTACCTTACCGGAGTTGTCGTTGTCCAGGAAGCCAGGTGGTTGCCGGACGTAGACGGTCTCCATCAGCTCTTTGTTAAAGAAAGCGGACTTCACATCCATGTGGTGGACCTCCCAAGAGCAATGTGCCACGATTGCCAGCAAAAGGCGGACTGATTCTAACCTTGCCACCGACACAAATACCTCTTCGAAGTCCACACCTTGCTTCTAGACGTAGCCCTTCACCACTAGACAGGCCTTGTGCTTCACAACTTCTCCCTTTTTGTTGCGCTTCAGTTTGAAGACCCATTTGAGCCCTATGGCTCGTTGTCCCGGTGGCATATCCTCCAGACTCCATGTCTAGTTTTCGGTGATGGATGTCATCTCCTCCTACATTGGCTTTAGCCAACACGGTTCCTTTCTGCTTCGGCGAAGGTGTTCGATACATCTGCGCTGATGGCATGCAGTTCGACCACCTCTTTTCGAGATTGCGCGGCGTCAGTCCAGGTGGTTCACCTCCTCCCACTAGGTCTTCCATCCTCCGGTACCTGGCCACCAGATCATCATCGTGATCGGCATCCAGCGTCGAATTTGGGCTCCTCCTTCTTGCGGCTTATTGACGAGGTACTCCACCGTGAATTGATTTAGGTTATGGTCTGCCTCGATCACATTGTTCCACTACCATAAGGTGCTTTCGTTAAAGATGACATCGTGAGACATGTGAGCTCACCCCCCGCAGGATCATAGAGTCTATACGCCTTGCTCCTGGGTTCGTAACCGATGAAGACAACTTTCAACCCCCTGGGATCGAGCTTGGCGAGGTGGGGACGTGCTACCTTCATGTATGCAACGCAACCGAACACTCGGAGGTGGTGTACCGCTGGCTTCTTGTTGTACCAGGACTCGTGTGGCGTCTTCCCATCGAGGCTTTGCATTGGCGAACGATTGAGGAGGTAGACTGTCGTCATTACCGCCTCTCCCCAGATTCACCCAGGCATCCGGGCCGTCATCAGTAGAGACCTTGCTTTCCCGACGATGGTCTGATTTTGGCATTCTACCACCCCATTTTGCTGGGGGGATTAGGGCGTCGTTAGTTGTCGCTCATGCCGAGCTCGTCGCCGTACTCTTACGAAGCTCGCTGAGGTGAATTCTCTGCCTCGGTCCGTGTGCAGCACTCGTATCTTCTTCATACATTCGGCCCTCGCTCGTGCCTGGATGCACTTAATCGCCTAGCATCTTCTTCCCGCATTCGGCCTCCGCTCGCGCCTGGATGCATTTAATCGCCTCTGCCACCTCACTTTTCGCTTGCAGCAGGATTAGCCACATGAAGCGGCTTTTGTCATCGACCAACAAGAGGAAGAGGGTCTTGCCACCAGGGGTCGCCGGCTTGATGGGCCCGTAGATATCACCGTGTACCAGCTCCAATGGCTCACTGGCGTGGTAGGATGTCCGAGACGAAAAGGGGGTGCGCCTCTATTTTCCGTGAGGCACCCATCATACAACTTGTTCATGCCTTTGATTGCCGCAAATAGTGCACATTCTCCTCCCTATGTAATTTTTGTAGAGCAAGAAAGATGTTTAAGTGCCCGTACTTTGTGTGCCACCTCCAATATACCTCTTTAATCTTAGCCGAGAGGCTAACAGGTTGCTCTATCTCCAACTCCAGGATGTAAAGACAGTTTGTCGTGCGTCGAACTTGCGTGAGCAACCGTCTTCGATCATCGCAAATTTTGAGTAGCTCGTGGTCGATGGAAATGAAGCAGCCGGCCTCAGCCCGTACCTTGTGTGCCACCTCCAAGATATCTCTTCGGTCTTGACCGAGAGGCTAACGGGTTGCTCTATCTCCAACTCCAAGATGTAAAAATGGTTTGTTGTGGGCCGAACTTGCGTGAGTACCCATCGTTGATTATCGCAGATTTTGAGTAGCCCGCGCTCGATGGAAATGAAGCAGCCGACCTTATTGAGTTGACTCATGCTCACAAGTTAGCCTTGAGCCTCGGGATGAAGTAGACACCGGTCAGCTTGCGGTGCTCACCTCCCTTGCTAATAAACATGATGGTGTCGTGCCCTTCGATCTCGATGACGGAGCCATCGCCGAATTTCACTGTCCTGCAAATCCCTGAGTCAAGCTCGGAGAACGCAGATCTAGCCCCGGTCATATGGTTTGTTGCCCCTGTGTTGAGGACCCATCGCCGGTGCTCATGCTGCTCGTCCCTCTCGCCGATTTGAGCGAACACTCGCTCCGCAGAGAGGCTGACGGGTTGCTCTATCTCCAACTCTAGGATGTAAAGACGATTTGTCATGCGCCAAACTTACGTGAGCAGCCGTCGTCGAATTTCATCGTCCTGCGAATCCCTGAGTCTAGCTCAGAGAACGCAGATCTAACCCCGATCATATGGTTTGTTGCCCGTCCCTGTGTCGAGGACGCAGATCAGAGAACGCTATGAAAAGTTATGGATGATGTTGACTGTTGATTGCTTATGCTATGAAAAGATGGTTGATCTGCTGGTATTATGTCATGAAAAATATTCATCAATGTCATGGATACACGTAGTATTATCGAGTCATGTCATGAGATGCTTATGCAACTGGAATATACTTTCATGTTATGTAATATGTCATGTAATGTAAGTCATGTGAGATGTCATGTAATGTAAGAAACGTATATGCGATGTTAGCAATGCTTATGTAATGTCATGTTAGATATGTTAAGGGACCTCATGCATATATGCATGTCACGTGCATCGGGATTCTTCCTCTTTATGATACGAAAGAATGAATTACGATATTTTGTTCTCCATGATATCATGCGGGCCCTTTTCTGTTTTGTGGTGTCTAGCGACGTGTAACACGTTGTGCCCGTCCAAGCCAAGCCTAGGGGGTATTTATACGAGCCGCCTGGTGGGTCTATGTATGTGTACATGGGTCGTGTGTGAAGGATTACCACACATCCAACCCTACCCGAAATAGAAAAGTGCCCAAGGCTATGTAAAGTTTATGAAAAGTTAGGTCCCGCTTATATGTTGCATGTGTTTGCATTTCTAACCCCAACAGTGGGGTGACTTACTAAGTATTTCATAAAATACTCAAGCCACGTGCTACCTACATTTTCCAGGTAAAGGCAAGGCGTCGATGTACGGTTGACGGTGGAGCTGAGGACACCATGGAAGTTGGAGAGGGGATATTTTTAGGAGTTTATGTTTACTTGACTGTTTTAAGTTAAAGTATTGAATATTGTATTATTTAGATTTATTTTGAATTCAGTTACTGAAGGTTTTATTTTCGGAGTTAGGTTTGTTTTTGGATTTATGAATCTTTATGAAAGACTTTGTAGTGTTTTCCAAATTATTTAGGATGAGCTCCCACGTAATGAATTATGTACGTGACGTCACTAATTAGGTTTAGAAAATTAGGTGCGTTACAAAATCACTCCAAAAGAACTACCTTGTTGATCAAATATCTCAAATTAAGAACATTTGTTTCAAATTTGAATAACTTCACAAGCAAGATTGATCATGTCAAGCTTTAATGATTCTAAACATACAACCTAACTACAAAGAAACTTAAACTTTTGTACTTTATGACCATAATTATTCACTATATGTAAATGTAACTAAAGGTAAAAAAAAAAATTTAAAACTTAAAATACATTAATAAAACACTATAAATCTAGATTTTAATCATTCATAATAAATTTGTAACAATTTAAGAATAAATTCAGTCTCACTGGAAGTATCTTGGTGTCTTTTATTGCATAAATGAAACTTGATTCTTCTTAATGTGAAATTAATTGCAACTTGAGTTTAACTTCAATAACACTTGACTTTACTTAATGTAATTGAACTTTATCTTGTGGTAATTTGAACAACATTCTTCACAATTTCCTTCAAGTTCATATTGTATGATTGAGATACCTTAGTTCATATTAGACCTACGTCATACATTGATGTCATGATTTAAAGTTATGGAGACCTCATGCATTTTTGTATGTCAAGTGCATCAAGGTACCTCCCCATTACGATGAGTATGGACACATGTTACGATATCTACGTACGCCTTGATATTATGTGGACTCCTTTCCCTCCTTGGATCCGGCAGCATCAGCGTGCGCTATGAAGGGCAAGCCCAGAAGTGTGTATACGCTTGCCTAGTGGGTCCATTTGCGTGTACGTGAGTTGTGTATAAAGCATTACTACACATTCAATTTTTGCCTAGACATGAAATGTTTCTTCTATGAAAGGATAGATCCCACCATGATTGCTTGTGTATGCATTTTCTGACGCTAATAGTGGGGTTACTTACTAAGTATTTCTTAAAATACTCAAGCCACGTGCTACTCTTATTTTTTAGTAAAATTAAGGTATTTCTTGTATGGATGATGGCGTTGTAGTGGAGACCATTATTGAAGGGAAGATAGTTGCATTTATGTTTAAATTGTAGCTCCTGGGTTAGATAAGATTTTTTTCATTATTCCCTTGACAAATACTGTTATTTCAAAAGGATTTTACAAACGTTTTAAGTCCATGAAATCGTTTACAAAATGTGTTAAATGAACTTTTTTGCGCATATTAGACATGTCATGTATGCCGTGGTTGTTGAGAATTATTAAGAGTACTCTACATTAACTAATTAAGAGAATGATCATGAGTCTATAAATAAGAAATACATCTCCATTGGTACAAGGGGAAAATCAAAGGCAAAACCATGAGAGCTTATGCTCAAAGTGGACAACACCATACTATTGTGGAGTTACGTGATTTCTAACAATGATAACCTTGTTTTAATAGAAAATTTTGGTCGTTTCATGTTCAAAGTTTACCCCTCATGTTGCCTTAGGAGAAGATAAAACTAGAGGTCTAAAGGAGTAAACGCTCTAATGTATGGAATGTTAACTCTCGTGATTGCATTAACATTCTCCCTTCGGTTCATCTCAAGTTGTGATGGATAATATGGTTTTTCATCCCAACTCTTGTTTCATTTTAAAATTTAATAGTCATCAGCTAGATTTAAAATGGAAAAAAGAAAGCAATTAACTCTCTTAGCCACGAGTGGATGGGTGTGTTTCATTGGATGGTTAGAAACTTGGCCTCAAAAACATTTAAAATGGAAAAAAGAAAGAAATTTTCATTATTAAACAAAATTCTGTTGGGAGAAGTATAACATGAACTCTTGTTGGAAAATTTGTTACTTCTTTTTCTGTAATTTTGCTTGCTCAATGACATGTACACGTTTTATATGTTTTTGTCTTGTTTCATTACATAAGAAAGTTGGAAAAACTCTTGAAATTATTTACTCTAGCATATTTTTCAACACTTTTTACTTGGGTAAACACGAGTCTGCTATTTTGTATCAGTCGAGGGAAAGAACAACAAAACAACAAACCGTTCATCTGGAACATAGAAGATATTGATAACTTATTCTAATATGTTTAGTATTGGTAGACTTGATTTTGTAGAAATCAAAGGCGTAGATTATGAAATTTATTTTATTTTTGGTGAAAATGATATTGATTCAAAAATTTTGGAAGTGTATCGAGTTTGATGTTCTTCAATAGATCTAATTGAATACTTTATTTTGTAACGTCAAATTTCAATTATTTGACAGTCTCTATATGAAATGAATATTATTTCATGTGTGAATTTATCCAAGAGCAAATTATATTTAAAAAAAACAATAGAAAATAAATGCTATCAAAGGTGCATTACGATAATTATAGTAAAGAAAATCGTTTCGATCGAGCATTCTGCATTGAAATTGCTTAGAATGACGTTCTCCCTTGTTCTGGACTTTTAAAAGATCAATACCAATAAAAAATTAAGGAAGAACCAAAGGTATGATTTATAGGTTCTAGAATAACATCTTTTCATATATTTAAGGTTTAAGGGTTTGAATACTTGGGGAAATTGTTCTTATGGTTAAGGAGATTATTTTGAACCAGTCAAGAGACAAAATGCTTGGAAGATATGTTTTCAATTGAATGAAATTAATTTTTTTTGGATTACTGGATTCAACTTCCTCAAATAATACTTATAAGGAATCGGCATGAAATGCTAGAATGTGTACGTACTTTTACTTAAGTGGTTAGAATATGCATGATTAAGAATATATAAGAACAATTTTGGATAAGAATGCCGTGTATGTTTAGGAAAATTATAACAATGTCATTTTGATGAGATTGTATGGTGCATGTTATTTTAATGTTTTCACTATGCTAGAAAAGATTATGAGATGTGATTTGTGTTCCAATTGATGGATGTAATCTCCCGGTTAAGCTTGGCAAAATGTTTAGATAATGTATATCGTGCTTTGGGTGATTGATAGAATTATATCCCTAACCAAGCTTAGATAAAAATATAGGATAGATTCAGGTGATTTATTGTGGTATAGTTACCTACATTAAGTTAAGATTAGAGGGTTAGAGTTTGACTTGTTAAATGATGACCTAGGTCAGAATGCCTCCAGTAGATCGAATATTTCAGAATCGTGAGTCACAATCAGGAGTCTAGACCATGGTGCTCCTAGACCCAGATAAATCAAGGGGTTAGTATAAAGAGTCAATATTTTAAGTCACTTACACGTCCTAAGAACCTAGTAGACCTCCACAACACCTAGAAATGACTAAGGTAGCTATCTAGACTACTAGAGTGTGAATGGTATCACTAAAGTCTTTGTCACCCTTTCCATTCCGATACCCCAATAATGTTATCAACGACCTAGGTCATATTTGATCACTCCCACCCCATCAAGTGATAAACCCAGAGGAAGGGTCTCTAGTTAACCTTACCCAACCAAACCATGTTTAGAGAGAAATTATACTGTCTTACGATATATGATGAGGTTGCGCCTCAACCAAGGACGTCCGTCATTCACTACGTAGATAAAATAAGTTATCTAAGTCTAAGTATATATAAATTGAGTAATCTACATAGACCCCAAGGGGTAAGAGTCGGGGGTAAGAGTCAAATGAGAGAACCACTTGAAACTTCAAGACCTTCCTAGAGATTGAGATACCTATAGAGATTAGGCATGAACTTCTTAGAGCCTAGAGAAAAGCTAGCCTTATCTATCGGGTTAAGGATGTAATGAAAGTCTACAAGTAAGATGCTTACTAATAAGAATCACGGTGTTTCAAATGTTCCAGCTGGACCTATTACACGATCCAAGGCGGTAATTCCAACTGGACCTATTACACGATCCAAGGCGGTAATTCCAACTGGACCTATTACACGATCCAAGGCGGTAATTCCAACTGGACCTATTACACGACCCTAGGCGATTCAACAAACATTTCTAGAATTAGAAGCTAATATGATTGACGAAGAACAATTGAATATTTGCACGGTTAAAGTTGGAAAACTTTAAAATGTCAACAACAGAATTCAAACCTACACGCATAGAGCTCAATTGATTTCGAACCTGTCGCATTAACCATTCAAGCACATCAACATTTGTTATAAAGAACTATTTTTAATTTCATAAATTATGTATAATTCAAAGGGT